CCAATCTTCTCCATTGCTGGCTTTTATTATGAGGCTAATACTAAAAGCCTTTTCGATCCTATTACATAGAATATTAAAAAACAAAACAACTTTTATTCATCTTAGGGGGGGGGGTCACATCAGTGCGCGCGTCAGGATCTTCACCATTGAGAGATCCTGCACGGGCGCCGACCAGTAGTTCGGAGCAACGGAAGCCTATCAAACCATAATATCGTACGGGGCCACATGCGACTACGGAGTGACAAGCGGTTAAGTACGACGTATCATTTCAATGAACTGCATCTAATCCGCACGACCCCTCCCCCCCCCCGCTATCCCCCGGACTCATCGTTGCATAACGACTCTACATGTAGTTTTTCGGCGCCCCTGCATACGACTCACCCCACGGCCGGACGAGATAAATGGCCCGCTTCAACTTTACTTCTGTCACGTTGTTATTCTCCCATTGTGGGACACGTTCAAGCAACTTCATTGGAGCTATACAGTTCCTTCGAGTGTTCGCTTTAATCGATAAAAATTCAACCATCTACATCAACCATGGCTCGATTCTGCATTATCGTGTTACTCGAAATATTCAATCTACGACGACGAGGAGATGACAGGGATACCGTTGATCATTATGGGTGCTGAGGAAACGGAAGCAGTTCGTGTTTCTGACACTCTACGAGTACGTCTCGACTCGAAGTTCCGCCCCTCCTGCTTCATCGACTTGCGTTGACGCCATTGTTTCTGACGCCTTTCGGCGGCTACGGTCAATAATTTCTCGGCTCGCTTTGCACGTTCCGGTTGACCAAGCGCTTTATAGGCGCGCGAAACAGATGCCACGATTGCCTTGCGGCCACATTCGTCTCGTGCAAACGAGAAATCGATCATTTCGAACACTTCAGCCATGAATGCCCAGTCAGACTCGCCCTCGAACGCCTCCAGGAGCCGAAGACCTAGAGGTCCGTTTAAAGGACGCTTATTTTTGCTGGAGGTATCCAACCACTGCTTGAGAGCAGTTTTTACGACCTCCAGACGTCCGTAGTGGCAGCATCTACGAAGAAATACACCGAATTGAGGTTCACTGGACAGCCTGAAGACGTCTTTAAAGTGCGTCATCGTCGCCAGTAACTTCTCGTCACTGACAGTGTCGATACTGCGA